TGTCTGTCTGTCTGTCTGTCTATCTATCTATCTATCTATCTATCTATCTATCTATCTATCTATCTATCTATCTATCTATCTTCTCCCAGAAAAAGGCAGCAAGAAGCCACTTCCATATTGTTGCCAAGAAAACTATGTTTCCACATAGTCATCAGAAGATGGACAGTCTTTAATTTTGCCTTTGCATTACTGCATAACCAGAGAAACATTTTAATAAGTCAATTTCAATGAATTATCTATTGAATTAAAATTGTAACTTGGATAAGTAATGCTCACAACAATGTGAAAACCAGATTTCTGCATTTTTAGTAGTCAATAGAAAATTCAGCCACAGTCTAAAGAACCAACATTCTTGACTTCCAAGAGAAGCTTAATAAAAAAGAGCAGACCACCATAAGTCAATTATCCTTTCTTGATCTTAGCTTATTATCCTGGTTTGTTAACTGACATCAAGGAAGCATTTCCTGTTTCAAATGAATAGTACACTCTGGCTTAATGCAAAAGTACATAAGTAGAGGAAGAAAGGGGGAAGTGGAAGCTAAACATTCCTGCATGACCCTCATCTGCAACTTCATGATTTCATTAACAAATGTCCACGTGCTGAGATCATGAGGACAGAGAATTGTTAAGATGACAACCACAGCTATGCATTCAAAGCCATGCCCCTATTTTACGACATGTGTAAAAAAGGGACAGAGCTTCAGTCGTGTGGTTGTGGATCCCATCTTGATTTTTTTTTTTAACCCCCCTGCCTGTAGACACCCCTGGAGAAAAAAGATTAGCATTATTAGTCCCTGCAAGACCAATAGCTCAGAAAAAGGGCCACTGTTAATGCCAAATCATTCTGGTGCTATAGCTCACCTTCATTCTGCCAAGCTCTCTTTAGCAGTTCTTTCATTGTAATTGAGTGGCTCAGAGGAAGAGGGGAGCATCTAAAACTCACCTTGTGTTCTTCCTCTAGACCAGTGTTTCTCAACGTCAGCAACTTTAAGATATGTGGACTTCAACTCCCAGAATTCCCCAGCCAGCATGCTGAAACACTGCTCTGCTCTGGACAATGGCCATGAGCAGATAGGAACTACAAAACTATTCAATGGCCCTTCTTGCCAGTGGCACCCAATGCCAACTATTCAATGGCCATTCCCAATGCCAACTATTCAATGGCCATTCTTGCCAATGGCACCCCAAAACTTCCAGCTATCTACTGGTCCTCTCCCCACCCTCCTTTTTTAGCTAAAACGACAGCTTCTTTTGAGGCTCAGTTTCTCAGTGTGTCTACTGAATAATAATTCTAAATCACACACATTCCTGAGAGAAAATAATGTTCTTTCTTGCCAATCATTGTACAGAGGAAAATCTGTGCTAAATAACAAACCTTCCTTGGATGAAAGGTTCAAAAATTGATCCACTTCATGTGGCTCCAGTTTAATCTCAGGAAGAACTTTGTGACTCTGTGATTTAATCTGAAAGACAAAAAATTCAAAGAGGAATAAACATTTTTAGGCATCAGGGCAGATTTCCGTCCCCTTTCTGCTTTATTAAATAAGATAGAAACATGTGGCACCACTGCCTTCATTAACTCTGGATGGGCAAACAGAAATTGCAGCTTCTCATGCTGCAAGACTCCAGAACTAGTCATTGGAATTGGTGACTGAATCCATATATGGAATGGGGCATACACCAGAATAATAACAACACTAATAATAATTTATTAAATTTATATGCCACCCAACTCCCAGTGAATGAGTTTTCATAGAATGAGATGGATCACTTTCAAATACATGTGAATGGTGTCTTCTCACATGCACATGTAAATCAGAAATGGAAAACTGGCAAATCAAGTCTTGTGCTTGGTTTGTTTGAGAGATTTTACCGAATAAAATAATCGATGAGGGAGCTACCACAATTGGGACCAGCAACTCTGTTGCTAAGTGTGACACTCCCTAAGTGGAAAATCACGTGACTACAACGGACGTACAGCCTTACTTCTCCTTTGATTGTTAAGCGAAACATCACGAGTGTGATTTACAATTTTACTTCTGCCTTCTCTATTAACTCTGCTTGTTACAAGCCAGTTGTGAAGCACCCAAATGGTGATCACATGACTACAGGACACTGCAAATTCGAAGCTTTTTTTTTTACACCTTCATAACTTTGAACAGTTGTTAAATGAGGCAGTTGGTAAGCGAGGACTACCTGTACTTCCTAGTTAATGGGATATTAATAACAGTATGTTGACTTGCAAAGTAGTCACCAGATTACAGATGCTACCTTGCACAGAATAGCATGCGTGGAGTAAAACTGGGCATTGGTTGTGCTTGTGACATACTGGCCAAAATGTGCCAAACTAACTGGGACTGTCCTTATTGCTAGTACAGAAAGCAGCAAATAATTTTATGTTACATGAGTTTTAGTTTACATATCTCTGTGTTACTAAAAAGTGTTACATTAAAAGCTCACTTGACCAAAGTCAAGATAGGCAAAGTAGGCCAATGTCTATAGGCCTATCTGGTAACAAATATAGCATGTGAAAGAGCAATTTCAAATGTAATTGGAGCAAATGGTAAAGAGCATAAATTAAGAAATGGGGAGACATAAAACCAAGTAAGCAGGAACATAGATGTGCTATGTGGCTGTGAAACTAAGAGACAGGTAAGGATATAATAGATCTGAATGATGGAGGTATGTTTTTGTGGAGTTGATAATACATGCAGGGAAGTATCCTAAAATGAGTATCAGAAAATATGAAATAGAATCATCTAGATTATTGAAGTTGTGTATGAAAGCAGGAACCCATAGCACGAGTACAGCTGCACTACACTCCAGCCAATTATGACAACTTGAGGAAAAAATTATACAAGATTCCCAATTATGTGTTCCAGTGGGAAAAAGTACATAAAAAAAAAGAGATTGGGCCATTTAGAGATCCAAGAATAATTGAAAATGACGACTGGTGAGTATCTGCTTAGAAAAAGGTCTGTTTGTTTCAA